ATAACATTTCTATTCTAATAGATACAAGAGCAGGAGTAACACATATCGATAGCTATATGATCCGACACCTATAAAGATTTGAACACACTAAACCATACACATATTACAACTTTAATGGCGTAGTGACCATAGTATATGAATATGCTAAAGTACCTCTTAATATAGAGAATAAGAATAAGATACAAAATGAAACACTATAATGGCTCATGCTAAAACAGAAATGATTGCAAGTATATGATTGATGCTAGGAAACACATTCTTAACATCATACTTCCTTATAATATCCAAGAACATTGTTTGAAGATTACCTTAAGTGGTAAAGAAGTGGCTATACCAAGATACCATAAAAACTAGTATCTATAGTTTCTACATATCCATCGAAATAAATATGAAGAATACAAAATAGAATTCTTTCATACTTTTATAGATATAGGATTTGGGATATATTTTGCCAAAATCAATGCATTCCCAAAATATTATTAGAAGAATATCTTTCAAACAATGAAAGGTATAACCATAGATGGAAATATTATTTAATACCAAATAATAATAGAAAGAGTTACTACTATAATCGGTGGAATTGAAATTATAATTCTCTGAGTTTGAAAGTAATGAACATGGGAATGATATTCTATTAGGAAACGATTTCCTAAATCAATTCAAGCAGCATGTTCAAATTGCATCATATGTAAAATTTTATACACCTTGTGAGTATTAGCTTATGCCTATAAAATTTATAATGCTTATACTAGAGCAATAGAACCATTAATTTTCTACAACCAATGTGGTGAGGACAATAGAAAAACTCACTCAAAAGAGCTAAGAAAACCAATGTTATCATTGTGGAATAAAGAGAAAACATAAGAAAAAGTATCCCTAGAATCTTTTTCAAAAGAATTAAGAAGCAACTATGGAGAAGACTCTACAAAACTATGAGAAGTCGATAAAACTTATTCCACTATTGAATTGATAGATCCAAAAACTATCATTAGATTCAAACTAATGAGATATAGTCTTGAAGATATGGAAGAATTTGCAAAGCAAATTTAAGAATTAATAACCTAGAAGATCATACAGGTCTTCAAGAGTCCTTATAGTAACCTACCTTTATGGTGAGAAATCATAGAGAAATAAAAAGAGGGAAAGCTAGAATGTTTGTTAGCTACAAACAACTTAATAGTAAAACTAAATTGATTGTTACTTTTTACTGCATAAGGAAACTCTAATTAATAGCATTAGAGGAAATAAAATATATTCAAAATTTGATTGCAAATTAGGATTTTGGCAGATTATGATTTTGGCAGATTATGTTAAATCTTGAAAGTATTCAATTAATAGCTTTTAGTGCTTCTACAGGACACTATGAGCGGCTGGTAATGTCTTTTGGATTGAAAAATGCAC